GATAAAGGAGGAACGTAACAGCATTTTTCAAGTATGTCAAGAATGTCATACAAAAGGCCAAGACTAATCACTGGTAGCAGGACTTACACTAATGATCCCATGAAACAGGGAGATAGATTCAGATTGAATTTTAACTTTGTAAGTGTAAAAACACTTTGACAGAGGAAACCATTAAAAGGTAGTGACCTTTACTGAATATATTCAAGTTGTGGTTGGACAGCTAACTGGCAAGCATGCTTTGATCTGATTCTGTTAATAGATTCTGGTACTGAGCAATGAATTGGACTGGGTGGCATAACGAGTCCTTTCTAATTCCATGGTTCTATTTTTCTTCTCTGTAATGTCCATAGATAGAGATTTGTAAATTACCCAAGGTTCTCCACTAAAAATGCAAATCATTGAGGCCAAGGGGAGTATAGTGACCCAAAAATTCAGGTTATGCACCTTAACTTCAGCTTTACTTACCTTAAATATGGGTTAGTAACTCTCAAGCTGAATTCAAGTTTTGGTGACTTCATGAATGCAACATTACAGAAAAGGTTTAGTCCAAATCTACTGTATAAAATAGCTACCGTACAATAGACTCTCATATTCATTTAGTTCAGACCCTTCTTGGTGCAGGATCTGCTAAAGAATTGGCTTGGAACATCTAGTTCGTTGTGCCTACTTCAGTGCTTACATAGAGGACTAATAGCCGTTCCTAGCTGTAGAAAAACATGGAAGGCTTTTGGTCTATATATCAGTGAACATCTGGAAAGGCTAAATGCACATTAGTGACCAGCTGTTAAAAACCTCAGCAACTTCTTTAGATCTGGCTGTTTGTCTCTGCCATTTCCTAGAGTTTCGGTGGCCGCTAGGCCATTGCTAGGATGTTCTTCAATTAATTAAAGTAAGAAAATTGGCTTGATGAAAAACCCTTTCATAAAGTACACTGCATACAATTTGATCTTGGCCTGTATGCAATTATAGTCAGGTTTGTACAATTGCTATACTGTAAGAGCTATGTACTCTTTAAATAATTGTGAATTGAACTTTGTTATTCAGAGAGTCCTAGTGGATTGAAGAATGTATTAGTCACTTACATGATTTATTCCATCAATCCAAAGGAAAATTGTGTTAAAAGCTGCTAGCTATAATTCATGTCTTCTCTCCTTTTTCCTCAAGAAACAGCGATTTGTTAAGGCTTTATAAAAGCCTTGAAGGAATATGTCCTTTCAGCTGAGTTTTCCACAATTCACTTCTTTATTATGGCTTCATAAAGTGACCTGGTGCTTTGATTCTACATAATACACCAAAGGGATCACTTAACTTGTCTTCAAGGGATTTTTAATCATGAGGTTGCAGAAGACATTTCCACCAAAACAAAGGAAAACAAAGCAGTCTCATGCTATCCAAAGAAGATATTCAGTCAGAGTCCATTGCTTGTCTGAAATTTCACCATGAAGTAAATACCTCCAGCAATCAGAACTGAGGTGGATCTTCTTGCACAACGTTATTATTACTTAATATAGTTTATTTAACTACTAGTTAATATATTTTATTCAAGTTCAATGACCTTGGATAAAAACAGGATATGCCTGCCCTCTAGTGGAGAATTAAATTGCACTGATTTATTTCAATAGTTCTCAACTCATTGCTGCTTCAATGACTTGTCCATGAATACGTAATTATGCATTCTCTGCCTGGCACCATAGGAATTGGATGATTTTGCTGAATTCTTCAAGAATGAGCTTTCCCACCAGGCCCAGAACATCCTGATTTAACAAAATACACAGCTTTTAAAGCAAGGTGTTCCAGGTGTGATCCTGGCATTTCCAGATAGGACTGAGAAAGAAGCCCCTAGGCAGATTGTGTTGATATCCCTGAACTATCATGACTGTAGGTCTAGCTTGGTCCTTGGTCTAAGATAGGGGACTCCAAACTCGGCAACTTTAAGACTTGTGGACTTCAACTCCCAGAATTCCTCAGTCAGCCATGCTGGCAGGGGAATTCTGGAAGTTGAAGTCTGTAAATCTTAAAATTGCTGAGTTTGGAGAGCCCTGGTCAAAGGTAACCATTTACTTTTGAACTACTAGTTACAATTGCTATATAATTTGAGACTAGGACAAAATGACCGATTATGGACTGTCCCTACTGTAGCATAAAGAGAAAGCAGGTGCCATGAATCCCCTTGTTGTTGTTGTTAGTTGCAAAGTCGTGTCTGATCCATCGCAACCCCATGGACAACATTCCTCCAGGCCTTCCTGTCCTCTACCATCTTATGGAGTCCATTTAAGCTCACGCCTACTGCTTCAGTGACTCCGTCCAGCCACCTCATTCTCTGTCGTCCCCTTCTTCTATTGCCCTCAATCTTTCCCAGCATTAGGCTCTTCTCCAGTGAGTCCTTCCTTCTCATTGGATGGCCAAAGTACTTGAGTTTCAACTTCAGGATCTGACCTTCTAAAGAGCAGTCAGGGTTGATCTCCTCTAGGACTGACCAGTTTTGAATCCTCTGGGTTACCCACTAAACACCTTGCCCCACACAATTCTTCATTTTGAGGGGGGGGGAGGAGAAGTTATCCTGCCACTAAGCAAAAGTATCAGCCTCTAGCACTGTCTTGATTTCCAGATATGTCTTTGAGAACTAAATGAGCCATCTACTTAATGTTGGGCAGTCATGATCCTTCCTTTTATGTACATGCCCACCTACTCAGCAAAAGAAAAGCAAGGGGAAGCGTTTTGGGAGGCAAACAGCTTAGTAAAACTGAACATGTTCAGCAGGCTGATTAGACTGAAGCTCGTTGCTTTTCTCTCTTAGATTGGTAGAAATTAACTAAAATTATCTTTCCTTGGTTTAATATTGAAAGATGGTACAGTACAACAAATATAGAAACTGAAGCAGGAAGCCTGCATTTCAAATCTCTTTCATGTAATGAAAGTTCATTTGTCAAATTGACAGCTTTCCAGCAGAGGGAGCAAGACTGAAATACAAAAGCTAGCAAGAGAACTTAGACTTATATACCGCTCCGTAGTGTTTTACACAACACTCTCTGAGTAGTTTACAATGTCAGCAAATTGCCCCCAATAATTTGGGTCCTCATTTTATTGACCTGGGAAGGATGGAAGACTGAGTCAATCTCGAACCCCATCAGGATCGAACAACAGGCTGTGGACAGAGTTAGCCTGCAGTACAGCAATCTAGCCACTGTGCCACCAGGGCTCCTAAAGCTGATATATAGCTACTAAATTCCATCCTGTCATCAGAAAACTGAATAACAAAATTTTCATACCAAAGCTGCTAGAATGGGTCTGTCTGTCTGTCTGTCTATAGTCCTTGACTTTAAACCAGGGGTCTTCAAATTTGGCCCTTTTATGACTTGTGGACTTCAACTCCCAGAATTCCTCAGATGTGACGGAACATTCCAATAGGGAAAGAAGGAATTCTTCTTCATCAATGTGACATAAAAATATATGCCTAATTATGAGCGAAAAAGTTTTTTTTATGATACTGCCTTGAAAATTATTTGAAGGGGTACTCCATTAAGGTTACCTCTTAGTGCAGGGGTGTCAAACTGACAACGTCACGTGATGTGTCACAACTTTTTTGCTATTGCTGACAATGGGGTAGACGTGGTTTTGCTATGATGCATCCGGCCTGTGGGCCGGCAGTTTGACACCCCTGTCTTAGTGTGTCTATTTTGACTTTTCATACCAACATGTGATTCTCTGGATTGATTCATACAGCACGACCATAGGACATTCTGTTGAAGTCAATGGGAAAATGCAACTTGAGGGTATATTATTATTTTTAAAAATGACAAAAAGCAGGTATTCTTAAACACTTTATTGGTATGCAACATCACTGAAGTATCAGTTGTTAAGAAATCTAGTGTATTGACAGATATCTAATATTTCATAATATAGTTTTATTGGTAGAAAATTAGAATAAGAAAATGTCTGTTTTATGTTTAAGGTTACTTTGGTATCCTAATATCAAATCAAAAGTTAAGAATTCCAGTCAAAGAACATAAATACCACAGCTATTTTAATATATTTACGGGTTGATAGCATTCATGGTTTTAAAAAATTCGGTGGAATAGAAATGCTTCAACTGGACACATATTTGTTTTTTCAAGCAGTCATTTCTCCTGGATGACTAATTGGTTAGGAATCTCTATCCATCCACACACCTGTCATTTTTTTTCCATTCTGGATGATGGAAATCTGCTGGGGATGGAATTTCAAAGATGATGATCATGGCCTTATGGTTTAAATTCCACCTCTTCTGTAATGACATATCAGTTTATACAAAAAAGCCAACTGTTTTCTTTTGAGTCTCCTTCCTTCAACCAATCCCTATTTTATTCTTTTTTTAAAAAAGGCATCATGGTAAATATTTATGAGTCTTAATAATGGCTCATAGGCACCCATCATATACATCCCAACCTGGGAGACAGGCCCATTGTAGTCAATAGGGAAACTATGTCTGGGATAGCATTGTAAGTTTGACAGTCTATAATAAATGGACTCAGTGGTGGGATTCAGCTGGTTTGCACCACTTCAGCAGAACCGGTAGCTAATTTTTTGTTGCTCAGGCCCAGAATGGACTTCCAGAAGTGGCATCCTCACAGAGAACCGGTTGTTCACATATTTGAATTCCATCACTGGATGGGTTGATTATGTGCAGCCAAGTTTGAGTTGACTGTTAGTGACCATAAAATAAACCTTGTCCAGATGATCTATCCCCCAACCTGACCTTTTATGCCAATGGTGCACCCATCACTACTGTAATTGAATCTTCGGTATATGCACCAGTACTCAGCTAGGTTGCAGCACCTGGCAAACAATGCTTGATGTTGAAAAGCTAAGTACTATGAGACTTGGGTAGTACTCTGGTAGGAGATTAATTAATCAATTATACTAAGTTTATTTGCTGCTGATCTCACCACAAAGATAGATATATATTTATCAGGTATAATTGTTGTTGTTTTTTTTTTGCTTGTTTTTGCAAAAAAACAAATTTAATCGGTACTTTTGAGCTCCTTGGAATTTTCTTGAGAGGCAGTCATTGATTCTTTCATGTGGCTATGATCGTCACTCAGATTCCTTTCAGCAGACAAGTCAATTTCAACACTTTCAGATGACCGGTAACTGTCAAGCTGGTCGTTCTGATAATCTTTGGACTGGTGACTGTCATTCCGGCTATTTTCTTTACTCTCGGAGGATTGGCTGCTATCACTTACATGGACTTTCTTCCCTGATGGCTGCTTTTTGTAATGCTGACTGCTCTTTCTCCTCAAAATGACGTGTCTGTGATGCGGCTTAGCTGCATAGCTTTTATGTGCTCCAGGACTAACTTCAGCAGATTTTTTGCCTGTGTTTGGAACTTTTTTCTTCACAGTGGACAAAAAATGTCCTTGAGCTTCAAGGTGACCATTTTTGGGAATATGAGCAACATGTGGTATATTGTTATGAGATCTGTGAGATAAAGAAAGGGCATTTTTGTACTCAACAGCTTTTTCACCCTGATATTCTACCTTTGTCTTGGAAGATTCTATAGTATTACTCCTCTTGAGTTCTGCAACCATTCCAGTACCTACCTGGAAATTGGTATTTTCTTTGTTATCAATGTTTTGAAATGTAACGCCAAATCTCTTTTGGCTTTTCTTGTTCACTTCAGGATCATTCAGTGAGACTCTGTCATTGTTTCTGTTGATCTTCTCATGATTGGCAAGTTCTTTTTGAAACGTTTTGGTGAAACCAACATCTTCTTTAGGCTTTTCATTGGGGAAAGCAACTTTAAGGGTACTCTTCTTGCTTTGTTCTTTTGCATTAGGATCTGCTCTTCCATTGTCAGAAATTCTTGTAAGGAAAGTAACTTGACCCTTCAGAGGCGGTTTGGTAACTTCAAACCTACCAACAAGACTGTTAAGCTTTCCCTTCAATGTAACTTGATTTTTGTTTGTTTTATCAGGATTAACCTCTTGATTTCTTAGCCTTTCTCTGATATCAACTATCCCATAATCCTTCTTATGTTTTCTGGAAGGAACGGCTATTTCCATATATTTGTTGGATTGCCCCCTAATTACATCTTCAGTTGTTCCATCTTTCTTATGTTCCTTGTTAACATTAATTTCTTGCACCTGGCTGTTACTAATGGTATTGATGTTCACTTCAACCTTGTCATGTGGTTTGCTAATTTTAGATGTATCCATTGGCCTATTCAATTTACTAATGATCAGAGTGTATTCATCTCCCTCTTTCTTGTACACTGTTGCATTGCTAATACTTTTTTCATTAGATACTTTAATTTCACTAGACTTTGAAATATTAATGTAATTGTTTCCGGTTCCTATGGGTTCAATTTTCTCCAGGACCTCTGTAGAAAGATTGCTTTGTACATAAAGATGGCTAGCTAATTTGGAAGTTTCTCTATCGTTTTTGCCCTTGTGTAACAGATCAATGGAACTGTCCTTAGCTTTCTTAGGCAAGAAAATCTCTATTTCTGGAGAGACTCTGGCATCATTTTCTTTTACTCCAATTTTGATATCGCTGTGATTTATTGACTTGTTATTATTGGCTGTCTCAGAATGAATACCTTTCTCTTTCACCATGACTTGGTAGTTTTTATCTTCCTCATGGTCCTTATTACCAATAGGGCCAGCATGATGGAAGTCAACTTGATCAGGGAAATGATTCCCACTTCCTTCTATTTCGCCAGTACTATATCCAGTAGAAAATTCATCCCTTCTTTTATCTTCAAAAAATTCTGCAGGATGCTGATCCAGATCCCAGTTTCTAATGTTCCCATGTTGTCCAATCAAATTCTGATTGTTTTCAGGAGCTCTTTTCGGGCTGTCTTTTCCCGTTTCACTTAAATGTTTTTCCTTATCATTTGTCACTTGTGCAATTTCAGTAAGACTGTCAATCACACCTCTGGATTCCGGAATAGGATCAGGAATAGGATTGGAAATATGCACATTGTCTTCCTTCTAAATTGCATTTCCCCAAAAAAGTAAAAAAAAACACCTGGTTATTTTGGCAAGAGCATGTCATTATTTGGCTGAATGTTAACAGTGAACAAAGACATTATTAATCATTAAAGCTAAGATAAAGTATAAAGAACAGAGTGCTGAAATTACTACTTCTAGTTATTTCCAGAGAAATAGTTCAACCTGGATATAAATGAATGAATAAATGAATGAATGAATGAATACTCTAAATGGCAATACCATTGCCAGGGTGTGGTGTTTCTGTGTTTCCTTCCTTTTTGCTTCCAAATACTCTAAAAATAACAATTGTTTTGGTCCAGAATCTAACTCTAGAACCCTCCGGTCCATTGCGCAAAACCAAAAAGCTGTTCAAACTTTTCAGGGCTACTTATTGTGAATTAAAAGCTACTCGTTTCAATTTCTCATACTTCTAATTTCTCCTCTAGCTTGCTAATTGTCTGTGTAGAGAAGAATGGTTATCCATCAGTTTCTTTTGTTGGAAAATGTTGGTTTAGGCATGTGAATCTCTGGCCTGCAGGCTAAATATGGATTCTGACAGTAACCCATTCAGTCTGCCAAAATCTGATCAGCTGCTTTCCTGCTCTCCCTATACCAGAAAATCAGGAACTTGATCACAAACTGTAATGGTATGTGAAAATCACTTTGGGAGACTTGGCAAAAAGATGTTGCCTGGTGAGTGGTCAGATAAGTGGGAGCATAGCTCACAGCTGCATAGTGGGCAGAAAAGGGACTCTCAGGAGACCCTCTCTAAGTTCTCAGACAGTAAAGATGATGGTGAGGAATTGTAACAGAATAACAAGAGTTGGAAGGGACCTTGGAGGTCTTCTAGTCCAACCCTCTGCTCAGGCAGGAAACCCTACACCACTTCGGACAAATGGCTGTCCAGTCTCTTCTTAAGAACTTCCAGTGTTGGAGCATTTACTGCTTCTGGAGGCAGGTTGTTCCACTGGTGAATTGTTCTAACTGTCAGGAAAGTTCTAGGTTGCTTCTCTCCTTGATTAGTTTCCATCCGTTGCTTCTCGTCCTACCTTCAGGAGCCTTGGAGAATAGCTTGATTCCCTCTTGTTTGTGGCAGCCCCTGAGATATTGGAACACTGCTATCATGTCCCCCCTTGTCCTTCTCTTCGTTAGACTAGACATTCCCAATTCTAGCAACCTATACATTTGTGTTCCCTTTATTTTTTTGAGCAGTATACTTTACAGGCAGTAAATGTAGCAGCTACTGTACATAGAAATTTTTGAATAAAATTATACAGCCTTGGCATAAACATAATGATAAGGATGGAGAGAAAGAAAAAGTGCATTAATAAAAATATTATATTACCTTAATCTGTGTTTGATTGTTTGGCTTTGAAGAAGAATACATATAATTGAATATGTAAAACCCATGCTTGGAATGACGGCTTTTGACTGTTATCTGGGGACAAGAGAAATTAAGCATTAGAAGCAATTTTTTTGAGCTTTTAAGCGTAGAAGAGATCAACTGTGCAAAGCCGTACAATACTTTGGACTAGAAAGCATCAAGTCACTTTTCCTTGCCTGGATTGGATGTCTATTTATTTCAGCTTTGGGAAGGAGAAAAATAAAAAAAGATATCAATTGTATTGTCGTCAGTACTAATCACAGATAAGCACATTCAGCACAAAGATAGTAGTTTTTTACTATTTATTCATGAATTTAACTTTTCTCTGATTTTTCCTGAAATTATTAGAACCACTAGAGGGCATACGTCATCTTTTTTTTTTCCTTCCCAGACTTGGTTTTGTTGTTTTAGAAATTTGTAACAATTGCATTAGGGAGAGGAAGGAGTGAATCTCATTAAGTGAGGCCGTGTAACGGCTATCAATCCTTGCTACCATAATGGACAGCCTCCGTTATGCTTGCATCAAGGACTACTTGCATTTCTTCATTACCAAGAAATAGAGGAAACTATATTCTTGTCACAGTGATTGTTAAAGTTACCTGATGTTCCCCAACACATCTCTGCTTTCCTTTTCTGTAATGGGTCTGAAGCTCCTGGAAGAAAATGGAGGAGACCCAGAATGACAAATTGTTCATCATCAAAGTTAATCACTTCATCTCTTATGCTAAAGCTAAGGTGCACAAATTTTGAAGGGCAGAGATAATATGCTATAAAAGTTGGGTGTGACCAGGAGCAAAAAAAATTGGACGGTGTCAGAATAAAAATAGAACTTGATTCAATTTCAAGGTAAATTGAGGAAACTTCCATTCTATACTTTTAGCATTCCATCAACTCTCACAAAACAATCTGAAGCCCCCTTGCAATCCTCTGAATGTCTCTTTCAACTGCTGAACATAACATGGAGTGAACCTTTCAACCAAATTAATGCTACCGCTAATCAATTTAGGAGACAGCAAATAATATTATTTAATCAGTGTTTTGCTTCTAGCTATTGACAGTCTTGGAACAAGAAAAATCCCATTATATTAATCCCCCCTACCTCCATAAAAGGAAATGAGAAAAAATTGCTTACAAACACACACACACACACACCATCTATATATGTTCAGTACATGCATCTGTCTGGTCATCTACAAACAAACCAAGTCTGCACTCTTATATAACAACACAGGTTGCATAGATGCTATCCTTCATCCAAAAGCATCTTACAAGCTGTGATGTTGAAACTATTGAATCTAGCAGCTGGAAGGCAGAATAAGGAAGTGGGAAAATGGCCAACTATAAGTTTATCATAGTCATAGTGAAGGTGTTGATCTAGGAATAGGGAGATCTAGGTGTAGTCTACTCTCATCTGTGGAAGCTTATGGGGTGACTCTGGGTCACTTGTCCTCAGAGAGAAAAATAGGTCTGGCATTACACTCAGATATAAATGTATGCCAAATAAAAATGCTATAAAGATGCTACTATTGCTGCAACACTGCCAGTTTTTCTCTGGGTTTTAAACTACTACAGAGCTAGAAATAAGTCATTTTGGGCATTCCAAACCAGTCCAAATTAAGAGGTTGGTCAGGTCCGGACCCGCTTCTGAACTCTTCAAGGCTCCTTTGTAAAGATACCCTACACTTAAGTATTAAATTCTGTTCATTTGTCTATTTTATATGAATTTAATAATTATAATCTCTAGTTACAACTTGGAAGAAAATTTGGAGAGCGAGAGAGCAAGAGCAGGGTAATGTAGTGGCTAAGGTGTTATGGTCTGGATTAGTACTTTGTCTGGGTGATTTAGGGCTTGTCATTTTCTGCCAGCTGTAGACTGGGAACACATCTGTCTACCAACCTGTAGAAGATGACTAGGCTGAGCCCAAGGATGGGATCAAATGTATCATCAATTTAGAGTTTCTATGCCCCATAAGAGAACTAAGTTCACACACACACCCCTTGAAGTCCATTGATTCTTATCTGGCACCAATCTACCTTAAATGTTAGTAGTTTAGATTCTTATGTATAGATAGCATGAAATAAACTTGTAATACTTTTGAACTCTATCCTGGTTCCTGTTTTTTTGCACCTGACACAACCTACACTTGACCAGCATGATAGATTAAAGCCCATAACTCTTAATGAAGAGTCCTTCATCCTGTAATGGCTTGCTTTTGGATGAACTATATGTTCTGAAAAACAGAATGCAAAGGACACAATTGCGAATCAGATGTCTTTTTTTCTCCTTTTTTTTTTTTTGAGTAGGCTTCTCTTTTTTTCTGCATGCTGACATAGTTTTCCTGTTAATATTCTTGGTTCAAAGAAGGGATGGAGAATTCCCTCCAACCACCGGCTGTCTGATTACTACTGATATGCAAGATTCTGGGTATTTCCCTCACATGTCCTCATTGCACAAATATTACTTCAGCCTTGTATCAGCCTTGAATGTCCTTCAGATATATTACATTACAGCTGGACCATTGACCTCTTTTAATCAATGGACACATACAACGGAAGTTATCCTAGATGGACACAGAAATCTTAGCTCATATACATAACAGAGTTTGCAGGATAAATCTAAAGAAGTCTATTGGATATAAACCAGACAAATTCTTCACAAGTATGCTTAGCATTGCAGCTTGAAATTACATATACTTACTGATTGAGCCCAAGCGAGGCTACAGAAGCAAAGATACAGCAGGACAGCCTTCATGTTAAGAAATCTCTACGGATAAAGAAAAATAACAAAATACTGTTTACCGTTTCGTGTTAGCTAGCTAGCTAGATCCAGGGTGTTTTCACTTTTCTATTTAAGTATCACTAGCATGCAATTTCTTCTTTTGTTAAACTAATTCAACAAGGCAAGTGAATCCACATATAAACAGAATTAGTTTGCAAAATAAGGAATCCAATTCTACATGTATTCATTGATTTCTTGCATCTTCAAGTGACTTTTTTTTTTCAAAAATTGCTGTAAATTAGATGTTTGTCCTATGGTTTATTGCATGTCGGATACCATTCTACTTGTACTCCATGGTTTGGATTCAGATGATCAGGGCAATTGTATTGCTTAAGTAGGCATGCACAAAATTGCTTAAGGTATATAACTCATCAATACTTGACAGAAATATTTGTCTATTTTGGGTCCAAGCAGTCTGATATCTTCCAAAACCCACTGAATTTCAATATCCTTCCATGTCAGCCAGCGTAGCTAACAGGGGGAGTTATAATCATAAATTCAAGACATGCTGGCCTTCCCCTGCTTTAGATTATTTAAATTCACAAAATTGCCCAATTGCAATTGCATAGATCAATAATAAATAATAAACACTAAAAGTGCATAACTGACCCTTTTCATAACATTTATATATATGTATAACTTTTATGTTTTTATGTCTTACTTGTACACTGCCCAGGGTTGTTCTGTTTCTAAATGTGACAAACAAACAAATAATCACCCACTTGAATTACTTGATTGAGTTGGGTGACTACAGAAATTGAATAAATTATAAAATAAATAAGTAAATAAAACTGTAGAGTTGTTGAAGAAAATAATTATTCAGACTGCAGTCCTATACATACTAATTTGGTAATAAAGTTTTCTCACACTAGTGGGAGTTTGTTTTAGTATTCCCTTTAAGAATTGAATTCCTAATCTCATAAAACCTGCCCACATTAAGCTTCATCCACTAACAGCTTGAACATATCTTAGCAAAACAACATTTTAAGTTAATGAAAATCTAAAATATCACAAACCCTCCAATATAAATCATACCAACAACAAAATAAACACTTAACCAGTAGCAGTTAGATTCATTATACCATCAGATAGTTCAAAGCATTTTCTCAAACCCCAAATACAACAATGAACAAATACAACAAATGATCTATGAAATGTTGATAGAAGTTTATTGACATTTATATAATGCTATAAAGAGTAACATATTTGCCCAGATTCTATTTATCCTTCTATTAATCTCGCATGCACTATTCACAGAAAAATGTTTGGATGCAACTTGCCTGAACATATTCCTTATGCTTTGGAGTTCAAATCCCTTCATTTTTAATAAACATAATTAATAGCAGCTTAGACTTGATGATAATTATAGTCCAATGCATGGTTGTGTTAAGAGGAGGTTTATGATCCCAACAGTGAATTGACATTGTTTTAAAGGCAATTCAACTCCTTCTATCAAAATATCCATTTAATCAATCTGAGTACTTTAATCAAGTTAATCCCTAGTTCAAGTTCCTTTTAATCAGCATTCAAGATAGCCATACATTTGCAGATGCAGAAAGACAGACTGTGCTTAGCCTAATCAGAGGAGAAACAGCTTTTTGTAGGACAGAAGGAACAAAAGATGTTACCTCCTGTTTCTGAAGACCAGGTACCTCCAGCAGTTGTTTGCAGTTGTTCGCACACCTTGTTGAAGTTTAAATTATAACAGCAAGGCTCAATCTGGCTACTTTTAGCACTTGCCCACAGATAACTGGGGGAGGGTCAATTTTAACCTAAAAAAGGTTTTGTGGTGGAAGACAACCACCTAATGTTCCATCTGGTTGAATAAACAAAAGGCAGGTTATAAATATCTATTGTACAGCTTGAGAGGCATTATTGTAGGAACAGCAATTGGAGTAGAATTTAATATCGTAGCAGAGCTATGTTTAAAAGGAGAGAGAGGGATGCCATTAAAAATGGTAGGCCTGCATTATGATTTTGGCTAGTGACTTTCTTTCAGCCCAACTCATCTCAAAGGGTTGTTGTTGGGACAATAGGAGAAGAAAGGAGCATTAGTTAGATCTTGAGTTATTTAGAAAAAATAATAATAAAGGCAGGATAACAATAAATAAATAAAAGGTTTTCGTGTAACAACAAAATATATTGAGTGATGCTTGTTTCTTTTTCCCCATCTCATCTTTCTTGCTGGATGCAGAGAAAGGAGTTGTTGCTGTAAGATGTAGAACAGGGGTCTTCAAACTTGGCCCTTTTATGACTTGTGGACTTAAACTCCCAGAATTCCTCAGCCAGGCAGAGTGTGCCTGGCTGAGGAATTCTGGGAGTTGAAGTCCACAAGTCATAAAAGGGCCAAGTTTGAAGACCCCTGATGTACAATCAAGGAGATAAGTTCAACAATATTCACGGTGGAGAAATGGCTGGTGAAGATGATGGAATTTGCAGAAACGGCTAAATTGACTTCTTTGTTTAGAGAAAAAGCAATATCTACATTTACGGCTGTCTGGAAACCCCTTAAAGACTTTTTTGCACTGATCGTCATAAAAAAAAAGGGAAAGGGAGATTTGTAATTTCAATGATTGCAAAAAAAACCAAAACAAAACAAAAACAGGATAAGAGAAAAGAGTGAGCTTTCTTTTGTAACCATAGAGTAAGAAATAACTCTGTTAATTGCAACTGTAATTATATTCACTGCAAAGAAAATCAGAAGCTTCTTTCTGTTTTTTAAAAATGAGTTTTTCCACTTTTGTCTTTCTTTTTGTTTTCTCTGTTTTCTGCTTTTAGTTTTTATTACTTTGTGTTCATTTCTATGTTCTTGGTAAAAAAAATCCAATATACATTTTATTTTAAAAGAGAGAGTCCAGGAGATGACTTTGAAGGAGATAGGCAACAATTGTTACATAAGCAAAGAGGGCTGAACTATTCCTGAGTCCTAGGAAGCAAGAAAGCATTTAGAAAAGACTGAGGTAAATTAAATGTCTGTGGAGATTCTTGGTCATCCAGGTCATGGTGGTCTCAAAGTTGCTTTTTTAAAAGACAACTGGACAGTTTTTTCTTGAGGAAGAAGACATTTCGCTTCTCAACCAAGAAGCTTCATTGGTTCTGGCAAGATGGTGGGGGCTATGGAGGGATTTCATGTAGTCCTCAACTTTTGACCACAATTGACCCCCAAATTTCTATTGTTAAGTGAGACATTTGTTAAAAGTGAGTTTTGCCCCATTTTACGACTTTTCTTGCCACAGTTGTTAAGTGAATCACTGCGGTTGTTAAATTAGTAGATGATTGTTAAGTGAATCTGGCCTCCCCATTGACTTTGCTTGTCAGAAGATCGTACGCAGTGCTTTTTTTTGTAAAAAAAAAAAAGGTGTCGGAACTCACACATGTCATACAACCCGCCTTGCCTATCCTACAAGGTTCCATCCAAACAAGGTGCCGGAACTCCATTCTGGGTGTTCTATGAGAAAAAAAGCCCTGGTCGTACGAGGTGATCACATGATCCCAAGGCACTGCAAAGGTCACAAATATGAGTCAGCGGCCAAGTGTCTGAATTTTGATCACCTGACCATGGGGATGCTGCAATGTCATAAGTATGAAAAACGCTCCTAAGTCACTTTTTCATTGATGTTGTAACTTTGAATGGTCATTAAGTGAACTGTTGTAAGTTGAGGACTACCCTGCAGTTCTGACAGGACTGAGGGAGGGTGGGGTTAGAAGGATCATATTTCTTTGCAGTCATCTGGTTTTAGCGCTCTCCCTGAGAGCTCTTGAGGCCACTTGGGGGTTTATCTATGCCAGGGGTCTTCAAACTTGGCCCTTTTATGACTTGTGGACTTTGACTTCCAGAATTCCTCAACCAAGCACACTAGCTGAGGAATTCTGGGAGTTGAAGTCCACAAGTCATAAAAGGGCCAAGTTTGAAGACCCCTGATCTATACCCTCTGGGTCACCTGAAACAGGATGCAATCCATTGTGGTATCTTCTTGGAACTGTGGAAAGGACTGTGTTGTAGACAGGGGACAGGTGGTGTCTTATCCCTCCCTCTCTGTCGAGAGAGGGCTGCTCAATGACAACATAAGTGGCCCTTTTAGCCCACTTTCGTAAAAATAAAAATAAATGGCCTCTCATAAAAGAGGTCATTTATGTTAATACTGAACAACTCTCCCTCAACAGCGGGGGAGGGATAAGACAGTCCTGTTGCCTTTTGAAAAAGCATCTTTGAGAGACTCAGGTAGCTTTTCCCTGATTTACTGGACTGTAACTGATATAAAGCATAAAAGGAATTTAGGCTAACAAGGGAAGTGAAATGCAATAAAAAAGACTTTTGTTTTTTCATATGTCAGCTGTAAAAGAAAGAAGGGTATGACTGGGCGTGTTAGGAACTAATAACTGGATAATAATAGGAGAGACTAAAAAGATTGACTTCTTCAGTTCTTATTTACCTCAGTCTTCTTTCTAAAGAGGAACTGAGCAGAATGACTAAAAAGTGAAGGAGTGGAAAACCAAAGTAAAGAATTCATGGCTAACAAGTATGAGTTTGAGATTCTAGGATCAAATCGGTTACATCTGAGAGTCCTGAAGGACTTTGTAGATGTCATCTTGGATCCCTTTTGTCACTTTGTCACATTTTCTGTGACAATTGAGAGATCATGAAGGATTAGAGAGAACAAGTGTTCATTCCTTTTTAAAAAAAAACAAGAAGAAAAAAGACCTTGATTATTACAGATTTCATAGTTTGACATCGACATCAGGCAAATGTATGCATGCATGTATGTATGTATGTATGGATGGATGGATGGATGGATTTGATGGATTTGATTAAATTGAATGTGTCAGAACTATTATAACAAGGTTTCTCAACCTTGGCAACTAGCCGGGGAATTCTGGGAGTTGAAGTCCACACATCTTAAGTTGCCAAGGTTGAGAAACCTTGAGTTATAAGGCTATGTTTTGACTGCCAGGAAGGCTTTTTTTTTTTTTTTTTGTGCCTCATGCTTGTGTTACTAAACATACAAAAATAGCTATTGTGGAAACTTTAGACACTAATTGTCCTGCAGTAGTCTTTTTTGTCAGATGCACATGGATCAAACAGAGTTGAAATGACATAATACGAACATTTGATAAAAGAAATGACAACTCACTGGGTGAAAAGAAGAAAAATATTGTTTAAAATAAAAATGGAACATTGGTAAATGAGAGGTAAGATGCCTTTTATTGTGGAAGCACCATCCATCATCTCAAAGTTTAGCAAATACTGGCAGTTTCTTTTTTTTTAATGTGAGTGGTTCTGTAGTTGTACTTTCATTAAAGTATTTACCAGCATATTGTTTTTACCAGCAGAAAGTGTTCCTCCAGTTATCAGTGAGGAATATAAGAGAGTGACTAAATGTTAGATGAAAAATGTTCGGATCCATTGTTATTCAGGTATAATTATATATGCACATGTATTCATTCGTAATATTTTTAGGAAGGAGTAACTGCAAACAATCTCATCTGGATTGATTGATTTCCGTCAGGAGCTCCTAGTTCAAACCCTCAGAAACTTTTGCAGCCTACATTTCAATAACTGTATAATTTCGGGGTAGATGGGTGAGATTAAAAAATATAAAGCATATGGAGGTTTCCAGTTAAAGTGCCATGTGTCTAAAACCAGACTGAAAAAGGAAGGATCGCAAATACACAAGCAGAAAAGAAAGATGATGATGATGATGATGATGATGATGATGATGATGATAATAATAATAATAATAATAATAATAATAATAATAATAATAATAATAATAATGTTGGAAGGGACCTTGGAAGTCATCTAGATTCTAGTCCAACCCCCTGCTCAGGCAGGAAACCCTATACCATATCAGACAAATGGCTATCCAATCTCTTCTTAAAAACTTCCAGTGTTGAAGCATTCACCGCTTCTGGAGGCAGGTGGTTCCACTGATTAATTGTTTTAACTGTCAGGAAATTTCTCCTTAGTTCTAGGTTGCTTCTCTCCTTGATTAGTTTCCCTCCATTGCTTCTTGTCCTGCCTTCAGGTGCTTTGGAGAATAGCTTGACTCCCTCTTCTTTGTGGCAACCCCTGAGATATTGGAACACTGCTATCATGTCACCCCTCATCCTTCTCTTCTGTTCTTCATATGTTTTAGCCTCCAATCCCCAATCATCTTTGTTGCTCTTTTCTGCACTCTTTCTAGACTAGACTCTCAACGTCTTTTTTACATCATGGTGACCAAAACTGAATGCAGTATTCCAAGTGTGGCCTTACCAAAGCATTATGTTCTTCTACTGTACTTGCATTTGTTTTGAGTTTATAACCAGAGCCTTCTAGGTGACAATAGGTCTTTGTCACTTCTTTCTCTTCTCTCTCTCAGCTCAAGCTGTTTTATAGGATTTCACCACGAATTCGTAGTAGAGAGGATGCAAGTTATAAATGCAATAAGTACACACACACACACACACACACACACACACACACTTGACTAAAACCTATGAAAGCTAATGTAGTTTAATGGGTACTCTGTTCAAAAATTAATTTTCTCTTTTTTGTTTCAAAAGGTATATCATACAGGATACACTGAATCTATTCTGTACTTTCAAAAAATCTTCAAATTCTACCATTATCAGTAATCCTCAGCTTACAACATTCACTTAGTGACTGTTCAAACAGCACTGAAAAAAGTGACTTACAGCTGGTCCTTGTATTTACATCCGTTGCAGCATCCCCATAGTCATGTGATCAAAATTGGAGAACTTGACAACTGTCATGTATTTACATGATGGTTGCAGCCTCCTGTGGTCATGTGATCACCATTTGCGTCCTTCCCAACCAGCTACTGACAGGCAAAATCAATGGGAAAAGCTGGATTTACTTAATGACTGCATGATTCATTTAATAGCTGCAGTGATTAACAACTGTGGCAAAAAAGGTTATAAAATCATGCAGACTCATTTAACAACCACCTTGCTTAGCAACAGAAATTCTGGCTCTTGTTATGATCATAAGCTGTAATGTAGCCATTCTGCCTTGTTAAATGAGTATAGGTAGTCCTTGACTTACCATAGTTCTTTAGTGACCATTTGAAGTTGCAACAGCACTGAAAAATGTGATTTATGACCATTTTTCACACTTTTGACCGTTGTAGCATCCCCATGGTCACGTGATTTACATTCGGATGCTTGACTGATTTATGACAGTTGCAGTGTCCCAGACTGTGGCAAAAAAGTCATAAAATGGGGCAAAATTCACTTAACAAGATTCTCGTTTAGACTCAATTGTGGTCAAACATTGAGGACTACCTGCATATATTTAAAATGTAGCAAACTACTAATGTTTTTAAATGTTGGACATATTGGACATATTGTTCAGCCTGCGTCCTACATACATATTCAATTCAAAATGGTATTTTTAACATATTGCCTTCAGAACTAAAGTGTAATTCAAATATTTACTTTCTTGTTAACTGTATAATGAACCTCACAAACTATAAACCTTGAAGAAACAAGTTAATTAAGACTAAAAGTTAATTCTGGGAGTTGAAGTCCACAAGTCATAAAAGGGCCAAGCCTAAAGACCTCTGCTATAAATCAGGGGTGTCAAACTGCTGGCCTGTGGGCCTGACACATCACGCGGAAGCCGGGCCCACCCCATTGCCGGCAATGGTCCTGATATATCGCGCGACGTCACAAGTTTGACATGTCTGCTATAGATGATAGTCTGAGCTTTCAATGCAATGTAGTAGTAGGAATGATTTTATTTTTCATCTGTAACTAGTGCAACCATAATTACAACCTTAATCATTACAAAAACAATTCAGAATGCAGTGAAATTGGTCTGAAATATTTAACTTATTTCATTATGTTTACTTTGAGTTAATCTGGTCGGTATATTGCAAAACTCTAATATAAATATAAGAATGGGCCATCTATTTTATATGACAAACTTCAATCTGATAATATTTTCATCTGACAAAGAAGTGGCTAATATGGAGGCCGGTCCAAGTTCTGCACCATCCAAAGAAAAAGTGAGTTTAATGTTGAACAACAAAATAATACTCATCTGCAATATGATTATTTCTTTAAAATAAATCAATAAATTTATAAATCCATGATGGCTACATGAATATTGATCAAAGACATACCTTTAAAAACAGCCTATTTTCATAGTTAGCACTAATACCAGATATTAACTATTTTATCTTGTTTTACTAGCACCATTCTATTGTGGTGCATTTTCCTGAGTAGACTTTGTGAACAGTTGACATGCAAAAATATATAATGAACATGTCAAGAGATGGCTTCCTTTTTTTCACTGATTATAGTAATAATCTTGGCCATACACATCATATCCATGCCCTTTATAGTAACTATACTCATCCTCATATGTTCTGAAATTATCTCCTCGTGGGTACCCATTCTCACTGCCATAATAATCAGTTTGGACTTCATATCCATGTTCGTAGCCATTTGTGGTGGTATCATACTGGCCCTGATCGGCAGGAGTGGTCCCTTCTGGCAATTGTTCACCTGTAGTACTTTCAGTGGGGTTGACAGTTGTGACCAGGGTAGTTAGACTGATTGTTGTTGCTTCATTTTCTTCCTCTTCTTCTTCCTCGCCACCATTTCCAGTTTCTTCGACGGTGCTGTTTGTGCTGGTGGCATTAACACCACTTCCGTTTTCATCTACTTTCTCCTCTTCTTCCTCTTCATTCTCCTCTTCCTCATTTTCATCACTGTCTTCTTCCTCTGCACCTTTTTTGGGAACAGTTTCCTTTTCAACCTTTTTATCACCTGCTTCTTTCCCCGGTTTCTGAGGAGGCTCTTTTACTGCTGGTACCTATATTGATGCAAAAAAAGAGGGGAGGGGATAGATTAGGAAGCTAGTTATGATCTGCAAAGGCATCCCACTCCCAGTATGTATGATCTGGTTTTAACCTTCACTAATGTGGACTGTATAAAAATTATGGGACACTTAAATCCATAAAGTTGAAAGAGCTACTTACACCACTGAATTGTTATTCAATACATATATACTGTTGCAAGAAATGACTTCTGGTTTAGAGTTAGAGTTCTCTCTAGATCAGGTACTCAGCTTCTGTATGATTCCAACTATGTTTGATGGCAGAATCATTGTATCTTTATCCACTGATTTATTCTAAAAATCAAAGGCATGCGCACTTTGCAAGATATGTCAGAATGCCCTTCCCTCTCTGCTGTCCCAGGTCAAGTATCACAAAATTTCTACAACATGCTACCTGAGCCTTTGTGGTATGGAAGAAATTGGAACGAGTACACATCTCCTCCTTTAGTGAAGATCTGATTTGGCTTTATACTAAAACTTGGTGATGATGGTTATGATTGTCAAATGCTGGGGAAATCAGGAAATTCAGGCAGTTCAAATGAGTATAAAAATTTATTGCAAGCTGAAGCTTTCTACAAGAATCTGAACTACTAGCAGTCAAGGAAATGAGTGGGAGTTAAGAAAGGAATTCAAGCTGGGCTGGACTTAGATCTTTTGTGGGTGCACAGAGACTCATGACTGATGACATGTTTGACCCCTCCCTCAGGCTCAGCCTGATCATCTCCTACAATGATGATGTTATCTATTCAATTGTGTCCAACTCTTGGCAATTCTATAGGTCAGGTCTATCCACGTCTTGCATTATTTTGAGTTGTTCTATGCTGTGGCTGGTGTCAGCTTTGATGGTGTCCAGCCACCATGTTCTTTGGTAGCCTGGTTTCCTTTTACACTAACTCTTCCCAATATTATTCCTTTTCCCAGTGAATTCTCCTTCATGACAGGGCCAAAATAATTGAGGTGCAGTTTTGTGATTTTTTCCTTACAGTGAGATGCCTGGTGTTAATAACTAAAACTTAATATTACCTTCTTTTCAGTAATAGTGCCTGGACAGTCAGATGACCTGGCCTGTAGAACTGCCAAGAATTAGACACAACTGAATAGATAACATCATCCTTATGGGAGATGACCTACACAGCTTTCTATTAACCAATAAGAACTTTCAGGAACTTTTTGGCATCACCAAATTTTGTTTTATAGTCAAGGATGTGGGAGATGATGATGCATCTTAAAGACCAGCTTCCTCCTTTGTGTTTTTGTATTTGTCTACCTGTCTGCTTGTTTTATTGCTCTTTGATGATAACAATGTTTTTATTTGATTTGCTGTATTCCAAATCCCCATAATTTGCTCACCTTTTGGACAGTGTCGGTATTTCCATCAGTCTTGTTATCTTCAACTGCAGGTGTAGTGGGAGCTACTGTGGTCTCTTCACTTCCCTTTCCACCTTCATTTTCTTCATTTGACTGTCCCTGTTGGGACATTAAACAATACGAATATCATAATGCATATTATTTCAAAAGATACATAAACAAAAACATTTTAATTATCAATATTTTCATAGTACTAACGCCTGTAAAGCTATCGATGCAAGGTGGAGCACTTCTCAGCTTGAAACAGTCACATCATTTCAGATCTACTCAAGCCACTACATGACAACAATAAATATTTGAATCTAATTATCAGATAACCTAAAATGGGGCTTGATGCCTTTCCTAAAATTAGAACAAGGTTCATTCACAGGTCTCAAAAGAACAAATTCCATTCTTGGCAGAGATGGGGGTAGTGGTGATGGATCATTTTTCCCACATGTCAAGCAACTGGAACCCTTAACTGGTGATATATACAAAAGGACCTCTCATACAAATCTTAGTCCCTAGATAGCTGGCTAAGCAGCCTTACGAGTTTCTAGAAAGGGCAATTCACAGTGGTTTCCTTATGTTTCTGGTAATAGTGATCATGATTGGTGTGGAGAACAGAATATTTTCTGAAGTTGTCCTGCAGAATCTTTGCCCCTATAAATAAGATTCTCAAATAGCAACATTCCAGTGTTCATGCGTAATTTCAAACTACCCTCCCCCAAAGCTTATATTAATATTTAATTGTAATTTTGGAGGGATATATTGTAGGAGACGTGGTAGAAGTTTCCTCAATCCATGATCTGATATTTGAAGGATACACTAAAAACATTTACTCTAAAATTTCTGGATGAATATGAATCACAAACACTCAGGCAGTTGCCTGGAACTCTGATAGTATCTTTCTACAAAATAGGCAGAACGTCATCTTTTGCAATATTGTTCTAGCACACGGCTGGTCAGACCAACCTAAATGTTTATATGCGAATGTAGCTGTGCTTAAGATTGGATGGTTAAAATGCTTAAAAATAAGTTGAAATGTGATGCCAACAAAACATAACAAAAAGTTATCTTTCTCTCAACTGAAAGATCTTGCAAAATTGTGTGGTGTGGCTAGTTCTTTGGATAGCTACCAGAGATCACCATGACCCCATATATAACAGCAATTATAGGACTATTTATTTAAATGTTGTTAAGGTTCTGTCCATGTCAAGGCAGGATATAGCCTGGAGTAAAACCCCTGAAATAGAGCAGAGAAAGACAATAGCCTCATGGAGTCATATATCCAAATGTGTTGAAAACTCAAAGTTGGAGAAGAATGGGGTTGTATACCTATTGCCCCATTTTATGTCTCTCCCCAACCTCTACATGTTTAGGCAGGAAATCTGAAGGGATGATGTACATAGGATGTACATGCATGCATGTATTTAAGATTTTTTAAATCTTACCTTTATACTTTTATAAATAATTCAAGGTGGCAAACATATCTAATATTCCTTCTTTCTCTATTTTCCCCACAGCAGCAACACTATGAAGTGACTGACCCAAAGTAACCCAGCCAGCTCTCATGTCTGGAACTCATGATTTCTTGGTTTCTAGCCTTCTAACCACTAGATCAAACTGGGCCTCATAAATTCAACTTCAGGTCACACAAACTGGCTCTCACATACTGATCATGTTACCTTTCTTGGTTATGAAATGTCTGCAACAAGAAAACAAACTCAGAGAACACCAGAAGTCCCACAATTCAACTCTGAGCTACATATATTCTCCACCATTTTATGATAATAAAGTCCCTTTGAGTCCACAGTGGCTTGATGGCACATCATCAATCAAAATCAAAACCACACTCAATAGCAGTGATGACGTTACCTAGTCAGGTAATGAAACTCAAACTCAGAGAGCACCAAGGACCCCACAGTTCAATCGTGAGCTACAAATATTCTCTTCTGTTGATAATGTTTCTACTTATCAGGATCAGACTGTCGGTCTGTCTATCTGTCTACCATTGATCACCTTAATTCAGGCCAGTTTCTTGCCACACGACTGAGCAGGATACGTATTCCTCATTTTTGATGGTCCATCCAGAATTTTGTTGCTTGCAAGGCATGACCAAAATAGAAAGGCTTCAATGTGCCTGCAAATAGCCATACTGTACTCATTATTTCTACAGGCTTGCTTTAATTCAACTTCAGGTTTTCTTAAAGAATGACCATGGATCATATATATTTTTGTGTTGCTTTGGAACCACAGCGGTTGTTTTTAAATCAATGGCACAAAATGCTTTATCTCCAAACCTGTGGATCCCAATAGCTTTTACTGTAACTTCAAGGTTGCTGTTTGTTTAGATGATTTAAACTTAAAAAAACATACAACGTCAAACCAGAATAGAAACTTGTGGTCAGTTACTAATCTTCACCATAGGCACTCACAGAGTATAGGGTTTAAAAACAATGCTCCTTGGTTTGTTTTGAATAAAACCAGACACATTCCTTACCCCTTCTTCCTCCTCTTCTTCCTCTGAACTGTTCTCACCAAAACCTTCTTCAGATGAGTCACTGTTAAACTAAAAAGAGAGGCAGTTCTGAGGCATTTGTTCCCAAACAATACAAATGCTTGTTTACAGGAAAGCAATCAACTTTTGCTCTCCCCTATGTATACAATGACACTCAAGTCTATGTAGCTTTTCCAGTACTTCAGAGCCCAGAATTCAAATGTCTTGTTGGTGTACTTAAGACAAATAAAATATAAACAATAAGGGAATACAGCTAGTTGTTGACTTGCAGTTGATTTAGTGGCCGTTCAATGTTACAATGGCAGTAAAAAAAAGTGACACGAGCATTTTTCACATTTACGACTGTTGCAGCATCCTTGTGGTCATGCAATCAAAATTCAGATGCTTGGCAACTGACTCATGACAGTTGCAGTGTCCCTTTTGCAATCTTCTTACAAGCAAAGGTAATGGGAAAGCCAGATTCATTTAACAACTATGTTAATATCTTAACAACTGCAGTGGTTCACTTAAAACTGGGGTAAGAAAGGTCGTAAAATGGGGCAAAACTCATTTAACAACTGTTTCACTTAGCAACAGAAATTTTGGACAATTGTGGTTGTAAGTCAAGGACTACCTGTACACCTTATAGCAGTGGTGGCGAACCTATGGCACGCGGAGCCCTCTCTGTGGGCACGCGGCATCACCCCAGCACACGTGGTCTCTAAAAGTTCGCCATCACTGGCCTAAGCCCAGCCAGCCTGGAACCGTCATTGGGGAGCCCACCATCCCACCTGCCAGAGACCCCCTGGATCTCCCCCAACCCTGCCCGGCTCCCACAGGTGTCCCTCCCCATAAGCAACATCAAGGTGGCCACGCCCACCTTGGCCATGCCCACCCAATCTGCCATGACTACTGCAGCCACACCCATCCAGTGGCCACGTCCACCCAGTCTGCCAAGCCCAGTGTAGCTGTGCCCACTGAGTGGACCACACCCACCCGGCACCTGGCGATACATAAGTGGGTTTTGGGTTGCAGTTTGGGCACTCAGTCTCTAAAAGGTTTGCCATCACTGCCTTATAGTGAGGCAACCAATGATTGCAAGTTTTTGAATCCTTTGCAATAGTGGCAAATATCTGTAGCCCGGGTGTAGGAAGAGGGCGAAAGTTCGTTCTCTGAGCTTGCGTCCATTTAGGGGATATCAGTCCTTTACCATCATGTAGACTTGCATATTCCAGGTTCTAATTTTTATCTAAAAAGCTAGTGGTGTTTATATTTAGCCTTGAAAGTTCACATAGGAAACTAACAAGCCTAGAGACTTAATCGTAGAATCTCTGGATACTAATCCTTGCACCTCTAATTTGCCTTGGAAAGATTCCTGTTGGAAACCCTGCAGCTCAGTGTAGATAGTGTGGATTGCATTACAAAAACCACTAGCTTATTTTACTATTGAAAGGCAATTTTCCAGTGGAAATATGGTGTAGTAGCTTTGCAGAGCTCTGAATAAGCCACCTTAGATTATGTTAATTTCATTCATACTGCCGTAAAAGGCAGACAATATTATTTCTTTCCAAAAGTGGGGGCTGAATAGGCCCAACTTCAAGATCTTCCAGACCTTTAAGAAAACTATGGATGTTCAGGGTTAATCTTTGTATTATCCATAAGGAATAATAAGACAAGTAGGAAGGATACATTTTCCAAGGCTGCAAAGCCACTGATCAATATAAAAATATCTCCGTTGTCTCTAACAGAGAAGCCAAACCACTGTTCTGTTGAGGCAACATTCCTAGAAGACAATTTTTAGTTCCTTACATGACCCATATTTGAAAACATGTAATTAACAGGCCCCTGCATTACTCCCAACTTGGTCATAAGAAACCACTGCTTTATGGATGTTCTGTAACATCCCACTTGTCTCCTTAACAATGGAAGAAAGAAAAAGCTGTAAAAAAAAACCTAGAATTGGATCAACAATATTGTCCATCAATGGTCTATACAAGTTACTTCCTTTTCTGTGATTTTACTTCTGATATTTGACCATTTGTGCAAGAAATAACATAAAGATTTTCTACACACTGCACCTTGGTCAGGTCCAAAGGAACTGAAAGAATAATTTCACTATCAATTTCACCATCCATGGCATTTTTACCTGTGTGAAGTTGAATATACTATGTCTGGATAGCTGTACACAAGTAAAACACGTCATATATTTTCAATATTTTATAGAATGAGAGGTAATCCTTGACCTATGACCATGACTGAGCCCAAAATTTCTGGTCCTAAGTGAGACATTTGTTAAGTGAGTTTTGCCCCATTTTTCGATCTTTCTTGCACAGTTGTTAAGTGACTGATTGCAGTTGTTAAGTTAGTAACACGGTTGTTAAGTGAATCTGCCTTCCTCATTGACTTTGCTTGTCAGAAGGTTGCAGAAGGGGGATCACATGATCCCGGGACACTGCAACCGTCATAAATATGAGTCGGTTGCCAAGTGTCCAAATTTGGATCACGTGACCCTGGGGAAGCTGCTGCAGTTGTAAGTGTGGAAAACAGTCATAAGTCACTTTTTTTTACTGCCATTATAACTTTGAACGGTCACTACATGAACTGTTGTAAGTTGAGGACTACCTGTATTTGCAGGAATTATACAGCCTACTTAGGTCCTATATTCATCTTTGTACTGTGCCCCAATAATCAGTTAAAATGCTTTTAAAGATTTGAATCTGGAACACGTCTGCCTACAGCAGGGCCAAAAAAATTAAGGTGGCAGCCACAATTGTGCAATCAAAGACCTGCTTCTTTTTGTAGATGTGTTGCATATAAAAAAGGGGGCAGACTTCAACTGTTTTATTGAAGTTGCTATCTTGCCTATTTTGATCCCTCCCTGTGTCTGGAGTTTAAAAGTTTTTTTTAAAAAAAAAAATAACAACAACTGTATTTACCTGGAATCTTTTCATAGGTGGGTAGAAGTAAGGATATCTATAAAGAAAATGCCTGTATTTGTTCTTGAACACCTGCCAAAATAAAAGAAAGACATTTTAATAGTTAAATCTAAGAAACAAATTGCTATGCTTAGTACCCAAATAAATCAAAGATGTTGCCAACATACCGCATTTTCTTCTGAATCGTCTGACTTAAATCTTCTTCGGAAGTGTTTTGCCTACAACAGAAGAGGAGATAACTTTAAAAAGGAGTGCTTTTATTTCTATTGTATTGCTAACTTAATTTTGGTGTCAGCCTCCATACTTGTTTCCTGAAATGTGCTCTCAACATTTTTTCCCCAAATCTTTTGTGGGAGGACAGCACACACACACACCACCTTGAGAAAGAAATATTTTGGGAATATTAAAAGGCAGAATATTATATTTCCCCAAAGGATCTTAAAGGCAGAAAAGCAGGCCCAGTTTTCTTAATAGTCCAGGACAGAGGCCAGATCTGTAGAAATACAGATTTGATAATCCTTTCAGAAAGATTGAAGCTTGGAGCTGATGAGATTAGAAAGACAAGGACCCCTGAAATCTACATACCCCATCCAAACTCTAAGGACAGGAAACATGACCTTTAGGACATAATAGGATTAACCCACCACCATCAGAATACCAGGTCAGAACCTCAGGTGAAAGTACATCACACAGGAAATACAAACCCACAGGAAAAGGAATTCCAAGCACAAAACCCCAAGAAGGTATAAAAACCCACCACTCCCAGCTACATGTGATCAGCTTTCTCCGAGCCACATTTCTGTCTGGTTCTGCTCTTCAATCAACTACAACCTTCTTTCTAAAGCAGTCTCCATTTTGTTTATTCCTGGCTTGGACTGGACCCTGATAAAGATTTTTCTTTCAACACTTTATTAAATTTCAAAAAAGTATAAAATATAAAAAACAAGACAAAGAAAAAGAGTTAGAAGGGAGAAAGGGATAACAACAACAACAAAATCCCTGAAAAAACAACTAACTAAAAGGGAAAAAAAGAGCTATGGGAAAAAGTAACTTCCGATTTTCTTCAGTACAGAAAAAATAACTTCCAATTTTTTTCAGTACATCAGTGACTCTTTGAGCTAGAATAAGGCATCATGAACAGTACTTCTATCACCACAAACAGATCTAATGATCAACACCCAAAATTAAAATTTCTTGTTTTTTTTTTCCAGTTTCAATAAACAAATCCAGGAGTGGTACAATACTGTACTGTTCTGAAATAAAACAAAGCCATTTGTCTGAAATCATATAGAATTTCTTGCCTGAGCAGGAGGTCAGACTAAAAGACCTCCAAGGTCCCTTCCAGCTCTGTGGTTATTCTGATATTCTGTTATAGAAATAGCAAATAGCATTAACCTGGCCATCATAGAGCCTAGTGATGATATGCTGAGCATGAAAACAGCACTGTTTTATCATCTACCCTTGGTAAAAGCTATCTCTATATCTGTAGCATCTGAATTTGCTTTTTAAATATTTCTTGTAAAAGTAGGACAGAGATAGGGAGGCTCTAAACAAAATTCCAGGCTGGGAAACACATATGGCTGGAACCAGCAAAGATATTTCTGGGTAGAATTAACAGTACTTAGTTAGAGGGATCAGCGATCTAACTTAATGATATCAGTGGTGGGATTCAAATATGTGAACAACCGTTTCTCTGTGTGGATGCCACTTCCGGAAGTCCATTCTGGGCCTGGCAACAAAAAATTAGCTACCGGTTCTGCCGAACTGGTGCGAACTGGCTGAATCCCACCACTGAATGATACCTTCAATAATAATTTAGAACAGTGGTTCTCAACCTTTTTAATGCCGCGACCCCCAACCAGTCATAAGTCGAGGACTACTCAACCGGTCATAAGTCGAGGACTACTCAACCGGTCATAAGTCGAGGACTACTCAACTGGTGCAGCACCGTTTGCAGAATGGGACTTTTGGTGCGCTCAGCAGGGCAGAGACAGCCTGGACAATTCCTATTGGCTTTTGAAAGCCAATAGAATTAGACTCTATTCAAGAGAGTCTATTCTATTGGCTTTCAAAAGCCAATAGAATAAAAGGGAGTAGCACAGCTAAGGAAAAGGGGGAAAAAATGGCAGACTGCGTTGTTTGGCGACCCCCGTGAAATGGTTGTTCAACTCCAAATGGGGTCCCGACCCACAGGTTGAGAACCACTGATTTAGAAGCATATGAGCCTGCTTTATACTGAGACAGACTATTATAACTGCAGGAAGTTATAATAGTCTAACAGAAATATAGGCAGGCAGAAATATATTTAGCTCTTCCAGAAGAGGTTGAGAACTGAAGTTAACCTCTTGCTGTAAAACAGAATTGTTGCTCATCCATATTAAGCATGTAATGAAGTTGAGAGGGAACATGCAAAATTCATCCATTTGTTTCCAAGTGTTCCTGAATTAACCCATTTTGCACATGCCTAAAAATGAATTGATGGAAAAAAGGGACAATGGTCTTATAGCCTAAATATATTCATTTGTTGTGTGTGTTTATCACAGTCGGATGCCAAGAGACGAGTGACTGCTGGAAGATCCCAAGGAGTTTTTAGGATGCTAACTTGCACTAACATTATATAGCACACAGCTTTGTAGATAAGGAATGCTAATCAAAAGCTGTGCAATTTCCTGATGGAATATTAGTATTTATGTAATGCTAGTGTGCATTATATGATCTGGGAAGAGACTGATATCGACAATACATAGAATTCTTGTTCTTATTCCCAAAGGTGCTTTTTCACGAGGCAACTGGACTGTCTTGTTTTTCTTTGAAGACATTTCAGAAGTGAAATGCTTCAAAGAGAAACAAGAAAGTCCACTTACCTTGTGAAAAAGCACCTTTGGGGTAACTATGACCTGGATGACTGAGCATCTCCACAGACATCTGGATCTTACTATTTTCACTTTCCACTAGATGGCATAGCTAACTGACAGAAAATTCAATTGCTGGATTGGATAGGATTTCTTCCTTTCGCAGGCCACAGAAGTATAAGATATGATCGCTACTTTTGGGGATATGAATAATTACCATTCCATTGCACTGTCATTGTCATTCAGTTATATCCTAAATATAATGTAACAACAAGAATGTTTTTTTTAAAAAATAAATGTGTTGATGATGTCCCTGTAATTACTTAGGACCTAGATTTTCTTTTTAATGATATGTAATCTACTACTTATAGAATGTTAAACTTAAATGATAACCGAGTTCTGGGATAACAGGATACTTAATAAATTTGATGATACAGACAAATGAGCAGCCAGCTTGACTTGTTCTCACATTTATCAAACAATGTCAAGTTGACAAGGTTTAAGAAGCTCAGTGAAGTGCATCTTGCACAGCAGATATCAGGCCATCAGAAATTCAGAATTTCCCATCTCTTTTCAATGCAAAGGTACAAAAGGAAGCAGGATAGATCTCATTTGCTGTCAATCGTCCCACTGCAGTAATTAGAATAATAAATAAACTCCTGGGACATTTTTTCTCAAAGATGTAACTTTACTGAAAAGCCATATGGGTACAGAAGTAGAAAAGCCACTTTTGACATTTTTGCACACAAATAGCATAGGAAAACCTCCCATTGTCCATTGTCCACCAATCAGCTGCACTTGCTTTATTTTGGAAATGGCCTATCTGCCTCGGATGTTGCCACTCAATGACCTTAGGGTTTAGATCTGTCTCATGCTTCCAGGAAGCACACTTGTATTCCACAGTTCCCTCCCAAACCTCCCTAATATTCCAATGCCTTCCCTCCTCCCTCCTGTTACTGTTGTCTGGTTGTGAGCAGGTCTGCGTAGAGAGTCAACCATGACACTAGCTCTGATAAAGTTCCTGGATAATATTACCTCTGTACTTCATTTGTTTTCAGTTCAACATACCATTGAATTGTAAGTTTGATCAAAGATGTTGTTTATCTAATAGGCTCACATGAAATATTGGGTTTTGCCTTGCAAAGTGGTTTGTGCTGTGTAGGAAAAACAGTTCATCTAGTTCAGGCAAAGCTGCATCATCAACAGCTCCTGTTATCTTGAACTATCAACCAGCCCTTGGAAAAGCTGTTAAAACTATCAGAACATCTTCAGATGAGAGACACTAAAGCAAGGAAGAGCTTCATTTATGAATGGACTATGTCATTCCATAAAACAACCTTGAGGGGTGTTTTTCTCAAATCTCTCAAAATGAAGCATCCCCTTAAAGATCTGCATAATTGCACTCTGTTTCAATCTCACTGTCTTAGATCATTTATGGCTAGGGTGTTTCTTAGTATCTGTTTGAAAACTTGCAGGAAGAGAACATGTCTACAAATATTTAGTTGAAGTCTGATCTCAGATAAAGAAAGCCCAAGAGGTAACCATGCTTTCTGCAGTAGGTTCTCCTGTCCTCCATCCCTCTCATCCAATCCAATCCAATCCAATCCATCCATCCATTCTTCTATATTACAATTCCTATACGGTCCCTCGAAAGTATTAAGTAATCAAATAATCTTTTTATAACATTAAGCTTACTCAGTTCCTTCAATCTTTCCCTATGACATTTTCCCATGGTTTGGATCCTGTACCAAATTAGTCCATAGCTTTCTTATAGAATGGCACCTGGGACAGGACAGTATATCGAAGTAAGGTTTTCATAATATGGATTAAAGCCAATCTATTATAGACACCAGTGGATGCCTGCAGAATGGGATCAAAAGGTTAAGATGGTCACTGGGACTTTGCGATCAAAGTTCTGCCTGTATTTTGTGTGTGTGTGTATCTATGTGCAATGTATTTTGAAAAAGTTAGACTTTGATCACACCGTTGCAGCCATGGTCTTGAATTTTGATCATACCATGTGGACACCTTGATGCCTATTGTGACCAAACTGAGCTCACATTGGGTGGTTTAGGTTTCTATTTTCTTCTTTCTCTTTTTACCTACTTGTCTCCAAGGTTTTTCATAGCTCTGCAAATCTCCAAGTTACCTTAAATATGCTGATATTTTCCTCATGTGTGTGGGTAGAATTTTGGCCAAATGAATACTGGCATTTATAGGTGTGAGTTTTATTATAAGTGTTCTACAATGAATACATATTTATGAGTCAAGTTTCCTAATACAATATTAGGTTCTTTGCAAGCACACATATCAAGTTGATGATTCATGTTTAGATTGACAGGGCCAAAAATTCCATAGCCATCATCCTGTCAGTGTGCTATGCTTATTTGATGCTGATGATGATAATGATAATGATAACAACAACAACAATAACAATAGTAAACATTTTAAAATTAAAACTAAATTAAATCTGTATGCTGCTCGACTCCCTGGGATGCTGGGTGTTTTACAAATTGATAAAAACATTTAAAAACAAGGAGCAACATAAAACACACAAAAAAAAACATAAATCAAAAGAGTACAATACAATAGCAGACAAAACAAACCCAAATGGGAATGAGGAAAGGAAAGAAAATGTTCCCATTTGGGTTTGTTTTTCATGAGCACCAATAATCCTCATTAAACATCTCAGCAAAGAGCCACATCTTCATGACCCTTCAAAATACCCAGGAAGGGGGGGGGGCGTTCGAATATTGGGAGGAACCTCATTCCAGAGGCTACACAGGTATTGCTATAGAGAAGAAATACTTCAAAACTCTCCATAGGTGGCATTGTTCACTCAGTGGAACTTGGAACATGTCAACTCTGCTAGATAAAATCAGCCAGGCAGCTACTATGAGTGACAGATGATTTCCCCCCAATTAACAATGCCCTATGCCAGGGGTCTTCAAACTTGGCCCTTTTATGACTTGTGGACTTCAACTCCCAGAATTCCTCAGCCAGCCTGTCCACAAGTCATAAAAGGGCCAAGTTTGAAGACCCTGCCCTATGCCATGTAGGACTTTACAGGCAGTAACCAGAATCTTAAATCACACTTGGAAGCAAACTGGCAGCCAGTGCAATTCATGAAGCAGAGGTTTTACATGGGCACACCCAGGCATGCCTGTCACTGCCCATGTGTTGCTGTGGTCTGGACCAGCTGAAACTTCTGAGAGATCTTTAAGGGCAGCCTCATATAGAGTTCATTGTAGTAATCAAGCCATCAATTTGCCAGGGTATATGTATTTGTCTAAAGGGTCCCTTGATCTAGGAAAGGGCACAATTGGTGCACCAGATGGAGCTGGGCAAAAACTTCAAAATATTTAATGAAAAACAGGCTGTTTTATGAATTTATATTACCATAAATTAATTTGAAATAGTTCTTTATGAGCCTGTCTGTTTTTTTAAATATATTTGTGCTAATGGGCACTGTACAGCTGTGCAGTTGGGGTGTAAATAGGAATAATATAAAGAAATACTTTATGAGATCAAACGCCTACTCTGGATAATTGCCAATTGCTCCAGCCAAAGCATCATGCATAGAAGCAGTTTTCTGCAGACATAATGTTCACCTCCACAATTCAGAAATTTGAATTCATAGATAAATATTCCCCATCCAGAATCAGCCAGTAGATTGCAGCCAGTAGATTAATAGCTTAATAGCATTAATTGTCAGAGATGAAAGCTAATTGAAGCAAAAATAGAAAAGGCTATTTGTAATGTACAAAGGACTAGAAAGTCAAAAGATACATAAAAGCATAAATAGATAATAGGTGAATAAACAGGTGAATTTAAAAAAGAACAAAGTCAATGGGTAATAATTTGTCCCAAAAGAACTGAACCTAAAAATCGCTTATTATTTGGGGACAATTTATTTTATATTGGCATGATAAATACTAATTAATGGATAGATTTTTTTTAAAATCAAAATATTATAATGGATTTGAAATCTGTTAAGTTGTGGAAAAACTTCTCAAATAATGATAATATATTACTAGGAATAACACAATCTCAATGAATGGACATTAAAATGAATATTCACAATACAATATATCCTAGTCGATATAAAGTATTGTTATTTTTACTCACAGAGAAGGCACAAGTGATTCCTATAATGCAGAGGAAAAGCAGGGCTGTCTTCATTTTTCTGGTGTCTGAAAAAGAAAGAAAGGAAAAGAAAATATATTTCCAAATAGGAAGATTAAAAAAAATGGAAGATATTAAATATCGGCAATTTCTACAATTCTGTTCAAATAATACGAGAAATATATCTGTTTAGGTCTGATTACTTTTGTAGGAATTTGAACAAATGATTGATTGATTTCATCAGTAAATTATACAGGTCTTTAATTAAAGACAGGGAAAGTTTTTTACCACTGGTCATTCCATACTTATATTTAAGTGAGGGTTAGTTTGGTGTAGCGCAGGGATAGGCAACCTTGGCTCTTTTATGACTTGTGGACTTCAACTCCCAGAATTCCTGAGCCAGCATGGCTCAGCATGGAAACCTCTCCATTTCTCCTCAGCATGGCTGGCTCAGGAATTCTGGGAGTTGAAGTCCACAAGTCATAAAAGAGCCAAAGTTGCCTACCCCTGGTGTAGTGGATAATATGCTAGCCTAGAAATCAGGAGACTGAGAATTGTAGTTGCCCCTTAGGCATGAAAGCTATCTAGGTGACTTTGAGCCAGTCACTATCTCTTGGCCCAATCCACCTCACAAGGTTGTTGTGGGGGAAATAGTAGGTAGGAGTATTAGATATGTTTTAGAAAGGCAGGATAAAAATCTAATAATAAAGTGTCCATTCTTGCACAAATTTAGAAATGTTCTAAATTGAATTTAGAAATACTCAGATTTATACTAGTAGTTTATGTATTATAAGATCTTCCAGAGTTTCATGGCTAACTCATGCTAGTTAAATTATTTGGATTTAAAATGGTGGATGAGAGAAATAAATCATGTCACTTCATGAATTTTGAGTTTCCTTCATCCATTGGTTGAGCCAATTTGATGACTGGATGTGATGAATTCTGGCTATGGTGCCAATTAGAGAGTTGTGGGATAGAAAAATGGGGGAGAAAGAGAGTCCCAATCTCTCTAAGTGACGTGTCCACTTACTCCTCATGATTGCTTTCGGGTATACCTCCATATGTCTACCTCAACTTTCAGGCTGTTGCAGTGCCTTGAATGGAGAAGGAAATTCATAGAGAACTTTATGGTTGGAGCTCTTTCATGCTTATTTATTTTCTGCCCAGTTGTGGAAGTACATGGGACCCTTAGTGGCAGAAAGAATGGGCAAAGGGAGCAGTCATATCCCTCTGAACAGCATCAAAAGGCCACCATTACAGCTTCTCTAGAATGTTTCATGTCATGCTTCAAGGATCTAAGGGCAATCTCAATGATTTCAAAAATTGGAAAAAAAGATGAAGTCTGAGCTCATTTTCTAGCAGCAATTCTTAAATTTGTGCAGTAATGTAATTATTGATATGTTAATTGCATTTCTGGCTAATCTCTTTTGGGTCATCATAGTTGTAATTTCAGCACAACCAGCATGTATTTAATCATTTTACAAGCAAAGCTAGTTGCTCTTTTGCTAACCTAAAAGCAGTGGTGGGATTCAAATATGTGAACAATTAGTTCTCTGGTGGATGCCACTTCCAGAAGTCCATTCTTATCTGGGTAACAAAAATTAGCTACTGGTTCTGCCGAAGTGGTGCGAAGCGGTTGAATCCCACCACTGCCTAAAAGGTATGTTTCTTTGAACCCAGGAAACAAAAAAGCAGGAATGTTGCTTTTGATAGCTTAGTTGGTTCTAAGGGGGTATTATGGAATATGTTTTTGGAGAGTGACTACCAAGCTTTGCTTTATACAAAATAACAGGTTTTTTAAATTGTGGAATAGACTTTCACAACTTGATTACACCCAGATGGGCTTATTTCCAACCAGCATTTGGAAAGTTGGACACCAAAACATCTGCAGAGCTCCAAATTGAGAAAGGCTATTTCAGACCTCAGAGCCTTAAGTAACACAAGAGATGCATATCATTTCTCTATTGCTAAAAACTATTCATTAAATTTCAGAATTTGTCTAGGAAGCTGTCCTGGAACAATTTCATCAGCTTCATCTGGTTTGTGGTTTGAACTACACTCCTTAAAACAAACTTCCAAGTTTGGAAAACTGACAGAAGATGACAGTTTTATTTAATTGAAAGTGTCAGTAAATAGAATGATCCTTGTTAAAAGAATGCCATGTTAATCCATACCTAATGTGCTTTGTTACAATTTGTATTTAAACCACCAGTTGAAAGAAGCAAAATTCAGTGAAGCATAGTTTAGAAAGGATTATGAACATGTATACGTAACTACAAGGATTAGTTTTACATATATTCAGCCCTTCTAGAAAATATTCCAAGGCCTAACATAAGCAATATATTTAATTGGTGACATCCATATTTATACTTTTGTTTCTACAATACAAACAGTAAGCTACAAATTCCATGTTACGTGTATTATCTTTGTGTAGCAGACAAATGGTGTTGCTTAAGCCCTTTAATAATTTCATGACTGAGGAACAATTGAACAATAATTTTGTGGACTATGTAATGTATTAGGTTCATCTCTATCTGCATTATAGAGAATTAGCAAGTGTACATAAAAATGGGTACCCTGGAGGCTATCCCAAAACTAAGAAGGGTCAGATCAAAGAACCAACCTAGAACCAAGGAGAACTTTTCTGATAGTTAGAACAATTAGCCATTGGAACAACCTGCCTCCAGAAGTTGTGAGTGCTCCAACACTGGAAGTTTTTAAGAAGAGACTGGACAGCCATTTGTCTGACATGGTATAGGGTTTCCTGCCTGAACAGGAGGTTAGACTAGCTGACCTCCAAGGTCCCTTCCAGCTCTGTGATTCTGTTCAGCGAATGTTTAGGAGTTTATTAACCAAAGATATTGGTGGAGGGGAGGCCAAATTTGGCCCTCCAGATGGACCGTGCCAACTGATGAATGTTGGCGTTTATTAAATTTGGGAAGGCTACAGTTTGCCTAATTCCTGAGACAGGAGAGTGCCATAAAAACACAGCGTATTGACTAAATACCAAGTTTCTTTGCTATAATAAGGTTGATCTATAAAATCATCTCCTCCTCTCTCTCAGCGTTCCATCACCATGCCTCTCTCCCCAATTCCTGCGAGAAATAATTTTAAATTAAATCCGGCTAAACATTTTTTAAGAAAAGGAAAGTAGAATGTCTCTGTGTTATAGTCAGTACAGTGTAAACTCCCAGCCTTATTAGTCTAACAGAATCAAGCAAGCAAAATACAGTGGTTCAGTAAATCACTGATTTAAATCACAGAAGTAATGTGCATGAGAAATTCCTATCTGCAAAGCAAAATATTACCTTAAAAACAGAATCAAAAAGTGAGAATTGCACAGATTAAGCAGTGTCAGAAACCTCATTGCTTGCAAAGAACCAATATCGTTGCCCGTCACTTACCAAGCTGCAGTCCTGCAGGGTACAGATTGGTCTCCAAGGAGTCAGGGAACAGAGATTTAACAGAGCATCTGTTTGTTCTTGGCCAACCTACTGGGATACGCACACTATTTTTACCTTCCACCAGCCAATCAGCGCTTTCCTTGCATGATGTCAGCAAGTGGACTCTTACCAGAAAAATCTCCAAACTTCAACCATTTTTCTAGTCACAGATGTCACTTTCAAACATAAAGAGCTGTTTTAGTGCCCAAAGTTTTGGATCATTCCACGTAATTGAAGGGTTGAGCTAGAGATGAATAGGTTTGGATGCCGAACTCTATAATGATGGTCTGGGTTTGAATTGAACTCAATATTGGGATCATTAGTTTTGTATGTGTGTGTAGTTCTTCTGTGGGAGAGAGGTAGACCAGGCAACAAGTACAGAAGGAATGTTCACTCTGTTATAGAAGTGCAAATAAAAGCAAGTGAAATGTTTGAGGGACAATTCATCTGAACATGCTTTACAGTTGTCTTTGCTGTTGAAAGGTCACTTCACCCTGTATTTGTCTTACTTGGGGTTCTTTGAATAAACATAAATGATGACAAATGAATAAATGTGTGTAATTAATTTTCAACTAGGAGCTTATTGCACATTTCATACTCACTGTTTTTATGTGGTTAATGTATATCATACAGTATACATCCCAAAGAAAATTAAGGCCACAAAAACGTAGCAAAAATGCTTTGAAGCAAGCATTCCCAGATATTCCTTGTATTCCTAGTAAGAATATTTGAAATGATAAGAGGTTGATCAATATTTATTTACTTCTTTGTTTGTTTTTGTTTATTTATTTCTATCTATATGGCCTCTCGTTTCACCAAAGCAACTCTGGGCAGTAGACTTTCAATAACAATAGAATGAATAATTGTAAAAATACCACACATAATCAAAATAAAAAGGGAAAATGGCAGCCAGGAGTAAATTCCCCAGACTATTAGCAAACCTTGTGAGCTTCACTAATTATTTGATTCAAGTGCCTGAAGTGCCTTTATGAAAAGCCAGCAGGTTCAGGTCATTCTGATCTCTGATGGTAAGGTGTTCCATGACAGAAAAGGCACAATTCCTGGGTCCTTCAGGATGGCATTCTTTACTTCAAGGCTCCCCAATCCCCGGTTCATGGACCGGTACCAGGCCACGGCATGCCAGCAATTAGGCCACGCAAACAAGAAAAGCCCCATCCGCGGGATGCAGGCAGTACACAAAACCATGCCCCCTCCGGTCTGCGGAAAAACCTCTCTCCACGGAACCAGTCCCTGGTGCCCAAAGGGTTGGGGACATCTGCTTTATTTGACAGGACCTGAAACACACCCCTCCAGCAGAATTAATAGGGATAGAGAAGGGGCAGTAGAGACAGGGAGTTCTTCAAGTATTTTGGCCCCATGCCATAAAGAGCTATATAGGTGAGAAACAGCACCTTGAAATGTATTAGTGGAGCTAGTGCTCTTCATGAAGCAAATGAAATCAACATGAATTAAGAAACAGCCATATTTCCCAATACTATCACATTTTGGACCAATTGCATCTTCTAGATGTTCTTCAAGGGCAACCCCAAGTACAGCGGAGTTTAGTAGCCCATTCAAAAGATGACCAACGCATGAGTGACCACACACAGTGCTTCTTGATCTAGGAAATGGTACAAGTAATACCCAACACAATATTCTGTAAAAATCTCCCCTGGTTATGGCTATTGTCATAGTTTGCCACAGGCCAATAGCATCCTTTTACTCATAGTGTCAACTCTGGTGTCTTCAAGAAGCTAAATTAAACACAAAGTAAATTAGTATAAAGATCTCTATGGCTAGAATGATTTCTCTCTGAAACTATGGAAAGCTATTATCAGTGTTAACCATACAAAGTTAGATAGGCTTATATTGGATTCCATATATTGCAATGTTATATGTTCATATATAAAATTGCTCTTGTCTTCATTTTTCCCCAGAAAGTAGAAGTCAACAGTATAGTGACTCAAAACTTTGATTTCCATATACTCAGACATAAACTTCTCCATTAAAATAAAACTTCCCATTTTCGAAGCTTCACTTCAAGCTATCTATCATCAGCACACCCTATGACAGTTCCACTTCTTTTTGTGAATTATATCATGGATAAAGAAATATTTCCTTTTCGTGAAAAATGATCCCCAAGATGCTTCAATATTTTCTTTATGTCTTTTATTTCATTTAGAATTCTTTGGAATTGTTGAAAGTATTTATTGTCGCCATCTTCACAAAAGAGAAGAAGGAGAACCCAAGAAACTACAGACTGTTAACTGGATGTTAATATTGGGCAAAACCTTTGACAGATTATCAAGCAACATGTTTGAAATCATAAGTTTGTTGCCAACATATTATGGCACATTAAATTTACTTGATTTATTTTAGTAGATTAGGGGTATGAAATAAAGCTCAGAAATGTCATTTCTAGATTCTGTAGGCATAAAAGAAATTTCCTTAAAAGCCATCAGCTTTGTTACAGGTTCTTTTTTATTCCTAACCTGGAGTATATTTTGAAAAAATATTAAAAATACTGGCAATCAAAAGGACATTTCTCTTTGCTAGACTTAATCTCTCTTCAGCTGGGCTCTTCAACTTTGTCTCATAGTCTGCAATAGTAGTCTCTGAGAGCAGAAAAGGAGAAACCCACACATCGTTAAACGTACAGTACCACAAAAATGTGGTGCATTGGAGAACATTAAAATTTGCAAGATCTTATTCAAAAGAACAAGGCAATAAGGCAGTGTGAAGCCTTATTACCTTATTAGTAATATTATTAATAACAGAAAAAGATCTGTAGAAAAATGTGTAACATTTAGGATAGGTTGAGCAATAGTGTTCCCTTAAATTGCAGAGTTTGAATGTTCTAGGTGGTTTGGGTTAGGATGCCAAGAGTTCGTAGTCACTGATCTTGAAAAAAAAATACATTTGACCACAAGAGGACTTTGGTTTTTCTGACTCCTTTGAAAAATGCCATCTTCTTGAACTGGGCTCTTCAACACTATTCTAGGTTTGAGACTCCATGCTGATTCAAACAAAATGGCCACCTATATTCAGTGTTAACTTTCATCAGCATTCCTTGGTGGTCTGACACTTGACTGAACAGCTAAGGAGAAGCATGTGGATGTCTGAGATTGTGGTTTAGGGTCAATCCAAAATTATTAATATGCACTGTGTATGTATATGCTTTTGCTTTTAGTCTTCCGTCCTGAGGCTTAACATAGCCAGTTCTTTTAATCAATCCTCATAGGATTTGATTTCCAGTCCTTCATCATCTTGGTAAACCACCGCCCCACTCCTCTGTGAATTCATTGGTTTCTCAATATCTTTTCTGCAGTGCCCAGAACAGAACATAGAATTCCAACTCACACCTGACCAAAGCAGATTATAGTGAGCTGGATGTCTAAGGACTTGACACGGTCTTCTGTTAATGCTTCCCAAACCATCACTTGCCTTTTAAATAGCTCTAGCACCCCAATGCTCAAATTCAACTTGATCTAGATCAGTGGTTCTCAACCTGTGGGTCGGGACCCCATTTGGGGTCGAACGACCATTTCACGGGGGTCGGCAAACAAGGCTGTCCGCCATTTTTTCCCCCTTTTCTTTGGCCACGCCCCTGGCACCCAGTGATGTATAAGTGGTTGGGGGTAACCACAACATGGGGAACTGTATTATGGGGTCGCGGCATTAGAAAGGTTGAGAACCACTGATCTAGATATCTAGTTGCATCGCCCAGATCTTTTTTACATGTACTACTATCAAGCCAATATTTCTGTCCTGCATTTGTGCCTTTCATTTTTTTTCTTCCCAGATATATGGGGAGAAAAGAACTTCCTATTAAATTTAATTCTGTTCATATCAGCTTGCCCAGATTTTTCTGGAATCTTCTCTTTCTCTACTGAAGTATTAGCTGCTGCTTCTAGCTTTATATCGTCTTGACCCCCTTCAACCAAGTAATTAATACCAATATAGAAAAGTATTTGAGAGACGCCTCTGGCAATCCATTTGATTCTACTCTCCAAGTTGATGTGGAGTTATTGATGATTACTTTGAGATGTGGTCATTCAGCCAATTATCCATCCATCCAATAGTGGTACCACCTAGTCCAGGGGTAGGCAACCTTGGCTCTTTTATGACTCGTGGACTTCAACTCCCAGAATTCCTGAGCCAGCCATGCTGAGGGGAAAGGGAGAGGTTTCCAATTTTGAGTCATGCTGGCTCAGGAATTCTGGGAGTTGAAGTCCACAAGTCAGAAAAGAGCCAAGGTTGCCTACCCCTGACCTAGTCAATATATTTCAATTTTACTAATGAAGATAGAATGAGAAATTGACTTTTTTTCTGAGATCAAGGTATATTCCATTGATGGAATTCCCCAATCAATTACTGTAAGTTAGTATTCCCCCCCCCCTCTTTGTCTCTCTCTCTCTCAAAAAAATGAAATCAAATTAGTTTGGCATGTTTGTGATAAATCCAAGCTGGTTCTTGTTAATCATTGGATTTTTTTTATCCTACCCACAATCATGGTATCTAATAATGAGGATGAGGACTCATAATTTCTTGGGTTATTCTTATTCCATTTTTAAAGACAGAGTCAATATTGATGTTCTCCAGTCTTTTGGAAACACAAAGTTTCTTTATTAACTCAATGTTTCTGCAATTACCTTTACCATTTCCTTCAGTATCCTAGTATGTAATCTGGCCTTGGAGACTTGAATGCATTTAAATTAGCTAGGTATTCTTATTTAATTCTTATTCTTTCCTTGTCTACCCTGAGCTGCAGCTCTTTCCTTTTACTACTGACAAAAGGATAGCCAATTCATGCTCCCTTTTTTATTGAGGGAAGACCCATGTAAAGTACAGACATTTTGCTTTCTAGACATCACTTTTTTTTTTGCCAGACTTCTAGACTTCCCTGCCTTCCCTTTTGCTTCTGATATATACATGACAAAGATTTTTGTTGTTGTTTTGGACATTTTGCACAAGCTTATTCTGTACATTTATTTTCCCTAGAGTTTTTACTGTCTTGTATCCTTC